TTGTGTTTAACATGGCCATGTTGCAAATACATGACAACTGTAGAAATGTTGTTTTGAACCATAAGTGTGTATGCAGGGCCACAGCCATTGTTGCAGTTGTGGCTGTTCTTTTTCCATCTCACAACCAATGATCATGGCCATGACTGTCTGAGATTCTACCCCACCTTACAAATTAATGCTTTTATGTCCTTACATAGCTACAGGTAGCCTTGTTGGTCCAAAGGGGGGGGGGAATCTAAAAACAAAAGCTATGTAAAACCTTTTATTAGGAATGCCAGGAAAAATAACACACAGCAGTGTGCTAGCTTTCAACCTCTGCCAGAGCTTTGAATTGGCTGCAGGTTGTCATGGCTCCTTTTTTTGGCATTTGTTGTTAAAAAAGGGAAAATACTACTTCTTTATGACACTACCAGTTATTTGGAGACAGGGAAGACGATAACAGATTAGGGGTCTGCATAAAAATCCAGCTGTTTCAGTAATAATGCCCTCACCCACTAGTTCACATAAAAGTTTAAAAAATGGGTCCTCAAATAGTTTGGATGGTTTATTTTGCAAGTCCAATCATGGGAATTTCTCGCCCTTGGATAGTCTGTTTGGAATGAAATCACAACATTGCCAGTGGCAATATGCCTTCATACTGCTACAGAATACACAGTGCGTGTTTTGTGTTGTGCTTGGAGGAAGGTTAGATAAGCCGTTTACAATGAAACATTCCAGAATGAAATATTCTAAGCAACAAGGGATGGCTGTCCCTGTGATACCCTCCTTGTGCATTTCCTACTAGCATCTGCTTGCTTGGTTACTGTTGGAGGCTGAATGCCCCTTTGTGTGGTCTGGCAGGTCATTTCACATTGTCTCAGACATGAAGTTCGCGTCGTTGGTAGTGTTGAAAAGAGTAGAAGCAATTACTTTGATTACCTTTCAGAGCATCACTTGAATTTTCTGTAGATTCCTTAGCTGCCCCAGTGCTTGAATTCTTCTGAAGGGGGCAAGCACTTCTGGTCCCCAACGTCTTGTGATGATCTTTTAGCTGTTATTTTTAGAAACCTCTAGGGAGCATAGTTTGGCCATTGTAGGTGAGAAGAGAAGGTTTTTATACCCCACTTTTGTCTATCTTAAGGAGTCTCAGAACAGCTTATGATCGCCTTCCCTTCCTCTCCCCACTACAGGCACCTTGTGTGGGAGGCGGGGCTGAGAGAGTTCTGAGAGAACTGCCACCAGCCCAAGGTTACCCAGCAGGCTTCATGTGGAGAAGGAGTGGGGAATCAAACCCGGTTCTCCAGATTATTGTAAATTTATTTATTTATTGTAGATTTATTGTAAATTATTATTGTACACCGCCTTGAGCCTGCTTGTCAGGCAAGGTGGGATAGAAATCGAAATAAATAAATAAATAAATAAATAAATAAGAGTCTGTCAGTCTTACTTTTTCCCCACCATAGAGAACAATGGAGAGGATAGGGGCAACCTGTTTGAGGGTCCATAGAATTGGACCCCCTGGTCCAATGTTCTTCACACTTGGTTGGTATCTTGGGGAGAGGCTTCAGCAGCTATCCTGAGAGTGTGGAGCCTCTCCCTCAAACCCCCTCCCCTCCAGCCCCCAGAATATACCCTATGTTTTCCCCATTGACTTCAATGGCCCATAGGATATAATGGGGCTGAAATTGACATTCAGCTGGCCGAAAGACTCCGGAATCGGCTCGTACTGACTAAACTGACATGCGGGAGTCTTACTGCCAGCCGAAATTGATTCTGCCCAATTCGGCCGAATCTGAATGGGCCGAATTTTTTTTTGCACACCGCTAGTCTCGACCCATCTTTCATAAGCATAGTAAGAAGAAAGGGAAGAATTGTTACAGCTTTTGTATGTATGTGGTTTTGGTAAGTGGAACCAAAACTCAGTACTTAGGCAAATGTAGTTATCTCACTTCAATATAATTGGGTTGGAGGCTGTTGGTCTTGGTACAGTTTGTAGTCTGAAGGGGTGTAAGATTGCCAAGCACCTTCTTGGTTGTTGTGTGTTATGCCCTCATAACCCTGGCTCACTATGACCACAGATTGCTGTGAGTAATGCGTACTACATCCTATGGGAAGAGTTGGGGATATGGTGTATGGGGAACAGAGGGACAGGCTAAACTGAGGGGGCTATGGGTTGTGCGCATGAAGTATCCCATATCTCCCCCATAATTTGTGCACCAATCTGTTTTTTCCTAAAATGCAACTTTAGATTTATGGTGATGAAGTTATGAACAATTCAAGTTGGAAGTACTGGCTCCGCTGGTGGACCTCTGATGGCACCTAAATTTTGACCCGTGTGTGTCACAGAGTGTGGGACTGGATGGGCCATTGGCCCAATTCAACATGGCTTCTCTTATAACCTTATGAAGCTAGACTAAGATTCTGTATGTTCCTGCGAGGAGCGAAGTCTTCTCTGCAGGAAAGTGATGTACAGTTTATTCCATCTTAAATCACACTGATTTAATTTAAAGCAGTACGTCTAACTGGGTTGAAATTACTATCAGAATTAAATATAACCCTGTTTCCAGTCAGACTGAACTTGGCAAAGCCATTTTTAATCTGTAAGTGTTTTTGCATGAGGTCGTAATAAATGTTAGTCAATTAGTTATAGGTAATGTATTTTAAAACGGTATCTGTACAAATAGGCCTTAAGCTTAGTATTCATTATTCCCCCCCACCGAACAAGGGGGTTTGTCCTTTTTGGAAGCACTTTGTGGTGTGTTAATTACTAGAGCTCAGTAAGATGAGCCGAACCATCTGCTGACGAGTGTTGGCTTGCAAAGTGCTGATGTGACCAGTTATTTGATCTAACTGGTCATCGGCATTTAGGAATGGCTAATCCGAATGAAAGCTCAGTTAATAAAACCAGAGGCAGGAGAAACTGCGAATTTAATATGCTCTCAGGGTAATCTTAATAACCCTTCTAAGCTTGGACAAGCAACCCTACTAATGAGGCACTTGTAATAAACGGATCTCGATTAAGATGTATTTGACTCCAGGTCAGTGCAACACTATGAAATGAGTGTTCTTTGTAGAACAAAAGTAGGGTTGAGTGTGGGCCATCCATGTGTGCTCATCCTAGCTTACCTCACAGCATTTTTGTGAGGACAAAATGTGATTGCAGGGGACAGCTATTATTCCTCCCTGGATTCCTTGGAGGACAAGTGAGATGCAAATGCATAGATTGTAATGTTATATGTAAATTCACGCCATGACTTTTAAATACAAATTTGGATTATTGAGGGCCTCTTTCTTGGAACTGGAGTGCTTTCTCCCCCCCCCCATCTGCGCACTTTGAAAAGGTTCAGTTAGTTTAACTGTACAATAAGAATAAAAAATCAAGATGGGAGGGGATTTTGAAGCATTTAAAAATGACTGATTTTATTACAGGTGAATATATATATATATTATAAGACTATGAAGTCACAGGTTAGGGGGAACATGCCTTGCATACTACTTATGCCTCTTTGGGGTTAGTAGTGTCCGTAACTATTTAAGAGTGTCTGTGTGGTATCATTGTGAGAGAGTTAAGTACTTGCTTAACTGACTCACAGAAAACAAAGTATTTTCCTGCCTTAGTGTCACTTGATTTCACTCTGAATTTTAGAGATCCCCACCCACCTTACAAATTGTCTAGAATAATGGCGAGGGGAAGGATGTGCACATGCATTTGGGGCTAGGCTGGTCCAAAATACTCTTAATGGCTTCTCTACTGGATAGTGTTAGATAGGAGCTGAAACAACTGAGTCCACTTGTACAAAATGTACAGAATGGCATGGTGGGCATGGTTTCATACAGTGTGTACTTCTTATGATCCTGTTGCTTTAGTATTGCACTACTAAGTACTTAGCCACCAGCAATTTATACTGTAGTCCAACCTGAAGTGAAATATATTGGAAATACATGCCTTGAGAAATATGTACATCATATTTTATTTTGCGGTGTTTCCCTATTGTGGAGGATAAGCAATCCTTGACAGTTCTGTCATGGAATGGCATCTGCATTGCTCCTTGTCTGAAGAAAATGTTTTTCATTTTTAGTCAAATATTGGATTAGACTATGGAGCATTCCTCTTATAGAAACGCGGCAGAACATTAGGAAGAAGATTTAATTTTCCATTGGAACATTCCTCAGTTAATTGATTTTTGTTTCTTCAAACATGGGAGTTTGATCCCTTGCTTCCTCCAAAAGAATGAGCAGTTGGATTATATGTGTGGCTAATTGTATTGCTGCTATAGGAAGGGCAAGGTATAGGTGTTTCTGAATTGTTTTTTCCTTCACTGCTTTTGTATTTTACTCCTAGAATATTTATCTTGCTTCCTTGAATTGAGTTTTGCAACTGGAGCATTGCAGTTACCTCTAAACGTTAATGCTTCAAAGAAACTGAGGAAAGGCTGTGGCTCAGTGGTAGAGCATCTGCTTGGCTTGTAGAAGGTCCCAGGTTCAATCCCTGGCATCTCCAGTTAAAAGGAGCAGGTGGTGGGTGATACGAAAATCTCTGCCTGAGACCCCAGAGAGCCCCTGCCAATCTGAATAGACAGTCCTGACCTTGATGGACCAAGGGTCTGATTCACTATAAGGCAGCTCCATATGTGTTCATAAATATTTTAATACTAAATCAAAATTAAAGATTGAAAGTCATCTAGCATACTGTATATTAGTGTGTGTTGGCTTCATAAATGTTCCTTTCTGTAAAAATAATGAACGGATGTCATTGCAACCTGGTCCTGTTAAGAGTGTGTGTGTGTATGCAACTTAAGTATAGTTATCATCCTTAAACCACGTCTCTGTGGCCCTTGCAGCTGTACACTTAGTACTTGTGGAAATAAGCAAAGTAAAGCACATTGCATATTAGCTGGTTACAGTAGGCAGAATATTATATCTTCCTCTTGGTCATGATTTGTCTTTTTAATATTTTTTTAAAAGTAACTTGTTTCTTGTGTGAGATAATCTTCTCAACTTTCTCAAACTTTCTTTTTCAGATCTGTTTTCTTCTGTTTGCTATCCTGTATATTGTTTCCTACTTCATTATCAGAAGATACAAAAGGAAAGCAGGTAACTTTTTAATACTGAAGTTTTGATTATGATGAAAATGGGAACCAGATGTGTAATACCCTGCCAGACTGCCAAATTGTATTTACAGTGATGGGGATGTGGCAGAGGAAGAGATGATTTTATGGCACGTTTTTTTTCCTGTATGAACTTTCATAAGAGCATTAGAGGCAGTTGAGTTTGGCCAAAGCGACTATGTGAATGTGGGCAGTAGTTAAAGTGATTTTTAAGAAATGTTTTAGTATTTTATTATTTTGCTGGTTTTAATTACATGATCTTATGTGATGTATTTTATATGATGTTTATATGGTTTATATGGTTGTATTTTATTTTATGATTATCTGTCTCGGGTCCTTGCTCAGTCAGGAGAAAGGTGATCATATAGGTATTTTAAATGAAATACAGCACTTCCTAGCAGATTCCCAGCTCTTTCAATTCTCCCCAGTTCACCCCTCCCTGGAGGGGTGCTGTTGTTGGAAGGGTTGGCCAATAGCCAAATTCATGGTGTACCGTCAACATCATGCAGAGCAGGTGAACTTCCTACTCTTTGTCCATCATTGGGTAGAGACCAGGGGATTAATAGGGCCATGCCAGACATAGAGCCTAAGTCCCAGAAGTTGCTAGAGGGAGCTGGAACTTGTATCAAGATTCTAGTGGCCCTGTTAAGTCACCCCAGGAGTGCAGCGATGTACAATAGTCCCTACCTGGACGAGCTACTGATTGGATCACCCACCTTGGATTATGGCCATCAAGACATGGCAGTAATGGTTGGAGTTCTTCAGAAGCTGGGGTTTCTGGCCAGCAAACCAAAGGGCCCTTTGTTTGTCCTTTGAGAGCTTCTTGCATTTGGGAGTATTGATCCCACATGGGAAACTTGCCTCACTGAAGGTAGCCCTTGTTTCTTCTGTTTGGAACATCTAAGGGACCAAGTACCCATGGCTTCTGTCACTGGCCAGCCTTCTCATCAATGAATTTTTTGTTCTCCTTACAAATTGGTTATTTTGTTTTCCTTGCATAGTGACATTAATCTTCATTTTTTTGGTACCTGCTTAATTGTTCTGTGGCTGGAAAATCTGCATTCTCTCATATTCCTGTTGCTTGTGGTAGGGAGTTGCTAGTAGTTTGTGCAGACCATTCTTTTGTGATGTTTGCCAACTTGGATGTTGATGGAAAACACTTTTCCCATGAGAGGACCACTCCTGTCATCCTTGTCCTTTAGCAAAAGACTCCCTCAGTGTTTAATGGAGTAGTTTGGTGTAGTGGTTAAGTGCGCTAGTTTGGTGTAGTGGTTAAGTGCGCGGACTCTAATCTGGGAGAACCGGGTTTGATTCCCCACTCCTCCACTTGCACCTGGCTGGATGACCTTGGGCAAGCCATAGTTCTGGCACAGCTGTCCTTGAAAAAGAGCAGTTTCTGTCAAGAGCTCTCTCAGCCCCACCCACCTCACAGGGTGTCTGTTGTGGGGAGGGGAAGGGAAAGGAGTTTGTAAGATGCTCTGAGACACCTTTGGGTAGTGAAGGGTGGGATATAAATTCAATCTCTTCTCTTCTTCTTCTAATGGCCCTTTTTTCTAAAAGCAACAAATTTTGTAGGTAAAAATTCCTGTATTTTTGTTGTTGCTGGTTGACACATCAACACGTGCAGTTTATCAGTAAGGGAAGTGGAATAATGAAAGACTGAGGAAAGCAGAGTATAACTATTTTTAAATAAGTGTTGTTATTAATGTGGAACAACTTTTTTTTAAAAAAACACATTCTTTAAGGCCAAAAAAGTTCCACAGTAGAGGAGAAAGGGATGACTGGCCATCTTCTGCAATCTCATTTGCGGCACTGTGGTGTGAGTGTAGTGATTTCCCGAGAGTCATGATCAGTCAGCATGGCGATCACTTCTGAACACCGTTGTGCAGTTATGTAATGGGTACAGAAAACTCACATATCAGAAATGCACTGTACTGCTATATACATTTATAGCAGTACAGTGCATTTCTGGTATGTGAGTTTTCTGTACCCATAACATAACTGCACAGGGTGTTTGGTTGATGTTTGTCCTTTGATTAGTAAATGGGAAGTAGGTGCAGTGGCTAGTCGAGCTAGTCTTAGTCTGAAATTGCCCAGAAGAAAACTGGTACTCTTGTGATCGATCAGAAGAACAACATTCTTTTACAGCCATTCCCACACAACTTTGGAATTGAGCAGTGACTCACGAAAGCTCACACCTTACCACTTTTTTTTTTTAGCCTTTAAGATGCAACTGGACTCTTTTCTCCTGGTACTCTTGTGTCATGCTGCCACCTAGTGTCCACATAACAGCATACTGCATATTAGTAACCTTGTGAATAGCTGCGTATAGGATCTTCTTCTTGGCCCAAATGACTATAGCATTATAATTTAACTAGCAGTAAAGCCCGTTGTGAAAGCAATACAACGGGATCTAGAAAGAGGCTCTGGGGCAGTGCTCTGGCTTTGGGCAAACAGTGTCAATTTGCTGGGGTGACCTCAGCAGGGTATAATGACAGAGTCCACTGTTTTCTCCAGAGGAACTGATCTCTGCTACCTGAAGAGCAGTTGTAATTGTGAGTGATCTGTATCCCTCACCTGGAGATTGGCAGCAATTGTTACCCAGGACAAAATGGCTGGTTTGGAGGGTGGAGTCTATGGCATTCTACCTGTCTGAGGTCCCACCCCTCTGCAAACCCCACCCTCTCCAGGCTCCACCCCTCAAATCCCCAGGAATTTGTCAGCATGTAGTTGGCAACCCCATCTCCTTCCCAGCTAGCCACCAACCTACCATTATCTGCCCCTTTGACTTCAGCTGACTTCTGCCCTCCCTTCTGCAGAGCAGTTGTAATACTGAGTGCTCTCCAGCCCTCACCTGGAGATTGGCAACAATGGTTCCCTATGTGAGACTGACTGGTTTGGAGGGTGGAGTCTATGGCAGTGTACCTGTCTGAGGTCCCACCCCTCCTCAAACCTCACCCTCTTCAGGCTCCATCCCTCAAATCTCCAGGAATTTCCCAAAGTGTGTATTTTCCCCAGTGGTTGGGTACTTGACCCAAATGATATGGATAGAAAGACTTGAGGGAAAAAGCTTGAAAAATTCTGGACTGATCTTCTCTCCCCCCCCCCCCCCCCCCCCCATCCCAGTGTGGGGACTCTGAAAACAAAGTACTGATGTTAGCATTGCCACTGCATTTGACTGGAATTCCAAGCAGTGCCCTTAAAGACTTTCCAAAGGTTGCAGAATAGAGAGCATTCAGGGCTACAGTCTCTATGTGAATTGCTTCTACTACCTGGTGACAAGCCTTTTTGAAACACAGCCTCGATGGCTGCTCTTGTCTTGGTTTGCATTTTCCCATCGTCTGCGTATAGTGGAAGAGTTTTATTTCTCCCCCCTCCCCCAGGCTTCCTTGTTGGAAGAAATTAAGAGGTTTAGATATCTTACTTTATTTTTAAGTGCATTGATTTCAGGAGCTTTAGATTAGAGTGACTCTGCACAGGATTGTTCTGTTAGGATGCAACAGGTTTCAGCACCACCTCTAGTGCCTTGGGTATTTGTAATTGTTTTAATATTATGGAGGCCTTGAAGCTGCCTTTTATCGCCTTATGCATTGTTTCATCTAGTTCAGTGCTGCCTTGCCCTGATAGGTCGTGGCTAATATTTTTATTTAACAATTAATGCCAAAAATACATCATGAGGATGCAAGTGTTGAATATCTTTCAGCCTGTGTCATCTCTGTGTTTATCACTGCCTCTGTAATTCTTATTCCCAGAGGCCAGTTAGACAAGAAATAAAAACAAGTAGTGGTCACTGGTAACACAACATAATACAAGTGTGCGTTTTTCTTTTCCAGATGAGCAAGAAGACGAAGATGCAATTGTCAACAGAATTTCGTACGTACACCTTAAGGGCTTGATCTGCTACTCTTTCAGTATTATGCCAACTGTGTTGCAGCTTTTATATTCTGCAGGGAAAAAGGAATAGTGCTGGGCCTTGAGAGCATCCCCCCCCCCTGTATGATTCAGCATACTGCAGTAAGCGTGTCTGATAGTGGCTAACGTGTGTTTTGCTGGGACAGCTTGTAGGCTTCTAGCGTGAGAAGGGCAACAGTACTTGTGGCTGGAATTCCACGACAGGGGCAACCTTTGGGCACATGATCTCCATTTTGTTCTTACTTGCTTTAAAATTTACCTCAGCGTCACTTTGAGAGTCTCGAGATGACTTTCCATAGAATTCCTGGATGTAGAACTGTTCAGGTGAGAGTATACATTGGAGTGTCTGCATACAGCTGAAAATTTATTGGCCTTTCTGTGGAATCATGTCCTCAGAAACTGGGTTAAATAAGCTTGGGTACCTCAGGATTGTCGAATAAAATGGGGGATTTAGTGAGAGTGACTTGAAAGAGCTCTTGGAGTCACTGTTGGCCTTGATTTGCGGTGAGAGCCGGTATCAGCACACCTTGAGATGGGGCAGTTGCTAGGGCCTGACGTTTCTGGCAGGGCCCATTGCCTTAGAGAGCCTCCCCCCGCCACAGGTTGCCGGGGAAGGATGTGTGGGTGGTGTACAATGGCTGCACTCCTGGCGGGCACAGTGGTGGTCCACAGCTGCCCACTTGCAGGCACCATCCAGCACCACTGGGGAAATGACATCCGGTCAGTGGAAAGGCTCGCAAGTGGGCGGAGAAGGAAGGGCACACGGGCAGGTGGGGCTGTGGGTGGGCTGGAAGGGGGGAGGCACAAACGAGGGGCCTGGTGGGGGTCAGAGGAGAAGCGGGGTCACCCGGGCGCTCTCTGCCCAGAGCCTTCCAAGACTTGGAGCTGCCCCTGAGGGGATTGAGGAACGACCGGGGCTTGCTGCCCAGAGTGACGGTTGGGATTCTGTTAGCAGCAGTTTTTTAAGGGCAGCTATTGAATCACTCCTCACAGATTTGCTTTATTCAAGGGAAGGGGTAGAGTCTGACTCTATGCCAGTGGCGTTTGTGTGTGGCTCTGGCAAGAGAATTGCATCTACCAAAGATCCTGATTGTGTGCTCAGTAAGGGCACCATAGAGGTAGTCAGTCAGTTATCCTAGCTAAGCCAAGACCATGCCCGTGTGCTTCCTTCGCCACTGCTTGCGTGGGAATCTGGTCAAGAGGAGACACAAAGCCTGTGTGAGTGGCACTTGACAGCCTGGACATTGTCAGTTACTTTGTTGGATTAGTGCTTGACAAACAAACATTTTCGTGCTGTGGATTCTGCATTCTGAGTGATTATTTTAAACATTTTTATGCTGCTTTTCTACCCAGCTTAGAGATCCCCAAGGCAGTGAGAAATCAAACCCTGAAACGTATTTTTAAAACGCATAGTATAAAAACAACTAAAAACAAATTGATCAGAGCACCTGCCCATCTGATCAAAAAGATGTGAACCGGTGGTTGGAGGCCAGACAGGGAAGATTCTTTTGTGTTACATATAGTTTTTTAGGTTGTGTAAGTATGGCAGGGGGAAGGACAGATAGTACTAATTTTTCTGTCGAGTACTCTTTTGTTTCAAAGAAATGCCTGGTCCTGGCCGTGGGCATACGAAAGTGTAGGTTCAGTGCAATATTGATAGGCCTTTTGATGTGCCCCATTTTCCTAATATATTCCCTTTTGTAAAATCCTGACAGCTGGCTTTCAGTGACGGGAGCTTATTTCGTTGTATATGATGCGGAAAGGTTCGGTTTCATCTTAAGGGAGCCATTTGCTTCCAAAAGTCATCAGTCAGGGGTAGGCAACCCCTGGCACGAGTGCTGACAAGTGGTACACCACGTCTTTTCCCTTGGCCCTTCTGCCCAAGCAGCCGCAGCACCGGCAGCACTGCTGGGGCCTGCTGAGTGGGAGAAGAGAACAGGTGCGTGGCTTCTGCCCGTCACCGCCTCCCTGAGTTGCACAGCCTCCAGCCATTTCCCCCCTCGACTTCTAACCCAGCCGTCGTTTTTCTATTCAGGCATTGTACGCTAGCATCTCTTAATTCTTAAGACTTTGGAAGATGCTGTTTGGCATTGGCTTGGAGCCTGCGGGGTGAGCAGAAGTGGCTTCTGCTTGCAGGGAGGGGTGTGTGGTGTCCCTCCCTGGTGCCCTCCCTGCAGCTTTGCTTGTCATTCGCGAGGATCCCTCCATCAGTAGCCTCTGCTCATTGGAGCCTGCAGTGAGAAGGGCTGGTGGAGGAAAGCTTGTGGGCAAGTGTGCAAGTGGGATTTCTGCTCATGGTTTTCTAGAGACAAGCCATTGGGTGCAACGTGAAGCTCATGCATTCTCCGGTGGGATATTAGAGAGGCATGGATTCTATATGGGAAAGCCTTAATTAGGAGGAGGAAGGGAGAATTTAGTTTCCTGTTGATTCTCTCCTCTAAACTCCATGAGTTTTTAGCCAGACAGGTTTTTAAAGAACTACTTAGGAGCGCACTTCAGTATGCTTAGGAAGACTTCTGGATTTCTCCCTGTATCTTGAATGCAGTTTCTAAGCTGCCTCCGCTTCAGAAATGGTTTGGCACATGTTGTGTCCTGGAGGCTGATGTTTGAGGAGTGTAACCCCAAAGACCCTTTGAACAAACAAAAAACTTGCGCTGGTTTGGGAGTCCCAGCCAGTGTGGTAATGGTATCCATCTTTAGAGGGAAACTGGGCTGAATTGACTCCTAGCCAGAGCTTTTTCGCATGTGAGCAGTACTAGTCTTCACCAGCAGAGGGAGTGCTTTCATTAACCTTGCCAAATTCAGCTTGTTTGGACTTCATTTACAAGTTGTGTATGTATATTCAGTTGAATCAAGTGCTACTCCTTAAATATAGTTGCATATGCATGGGAATTCTGTTTGAAGTGCTCGGTGGGGATTTCCAGATTTTTAGACATACCAAGTGTGAGTGTTATTTTTAACATTTTTAAAAAAGTGCAGTTGATCTCTTTATCACACGGGAAATGAATTAGAAGCCTCTGTGAGTGAGTGGACATTTTAGAAGGGTTAAAAATACAGGTGAGTTTGGTAAGCTGACACTTCCAGGAATAGAATTTTTGTAAAGCTTAACCTATACTGGCTTTGCTTATTAGTATAACAAATGAACTGCATTGGCTTTCTGGGAAGGATTTGGTTTTGTTGGAGGCTAACGCAGTAGCATTGTGCCCTAAATGGCGTGTATGTTGTCTTGACTTCCTGGCCTTTTAAAACTGTGTTTTAGCAGAGTTTTTACCACTTGGCTTGCTTTTAAAAATAGGCTCATTTAATGACTGAAACATTTTCATCACTCTCCCTCCTTTAACACAACGTTTCCTGATGCATCCTGACACACAATTTTGACCTTTTAGATGCTTAGCTAATGTGTTAAAGAACTGCTTTCCTTAAGCAATGGGATTCTCTTTCCTGCTGTCTACCACTTCCATTCTTACGGGAATAAGGAAAGATGATCTGGGATTACTTGAGAGAACGAATGGCGCGCTGCCTACTGAGAGCTGATGGCGGCGTGCCTCCACTCTGTCTTATTTTACAAGAATTAAACTGTAGTTGAATATAGACGGTTGTGAATATAAACTATTAACACAATTATTTGCTTGTTGGGATTTTTGTTCTGATTGCGTTAACCTTGTTATTAACAGTAACACCTCTCTTTGACTTTCAGGCTGTTCTTGAGTACCTTTACTCTTGCCGTTTCAGCTGGTGCCGTCCTCCTTCTACCTTTCTCAATAATCAGTAATGAGATCCTGCTTTCTTTTCCGCAGAGCTACTATATTCAGTGGTTAAATGGCTCCCTAATTCATGGTTAGTACTCCATTATGTCATTTAATATGCTCAGATGGGTTCAGTTATCTCTCAGCTCTCAAGTATATCACATATATGCTGAACTGGGAACAGAAAGGCCCACAGAGAGGCGGAAAGATGGTTCGTTGTTAAAAGTAAACCCAACAGGCGGCTGTCGGTAACTCTGAGATTCTCTTTCCCTGCAGAGTCACCAGAGCCCAAGTTTATGCGTCTTCTGGAAATTATATAAAATGTTCAGACTGGTAGAATAATTTGGCAGATGGTTAACGGCCTCAAACCCTTGGGGATGGGATAGAAGTCTAGGTAAACAAATGGCACTTCTTGTGGATGTGTGGGCTAACTGGTTTCAGATTGCACTCTGTATCATTCTGAAAAATATTAAGCCAATAATCTTGTATGCCAGAGCCTAAGAAGTAGCAACGTGTGTTGTTAAGAGAGAGTATCTGTATGCCGTGCCACTCAGTCCAGCTAAAATCTCTGCAGTTTGGGAGGAGGCAGTCATGTTATGAACCTGCTCCATGCTATGGGTACTCCCTCCCTCTGAACAAGTGTGTCTGTGTGAGAGAGACCTGAAAAGATTAGGTGCATAGGTTTCCGAGACAGACAGTGCTTTTTCCTCCTAATATCCTGTGTGTGTCCACGCATGGGGGCCGTTGAAGTCTCCTGCCAAAGGATTCTCACTGACCTGCATTGAATTTGTGGCGATGACTGAATTACTAGTGTCTCCAGAATCCCAGCTTGGTTTGGGAAGAAGGAAGCTCATGAGGAACTGCTTCATTGTTGGAATGATAAGTCTTTATATGTGGTTTTAGGAGGAGGTCAGCAAATTCCCAGTGCTGGGTTAATAACCCAGTCTGCAGATCTTTACATGTAGCAGCAGAGTGTGTGAAACTCTGTGCAAGTGTACGCATGGTCACCTGTAGAACAAATTGAAGTTAGGAGAAGCACAAGGCGAAGGATGTTCAGAAAGGGGCTGAGGTTCAAAAAGTGGGAGAGAGGTGGCGCTTTGATGAAAATGTTAAATGAGTGATGTGTGGGAATGGCTGTAAAAGAGCATTGTTCTTCTGATTGCAACAGGTTGCAGTATGAAGATAAGACTGTTGATTTTTAGGCTGTGGAAAGAAGGGACATTAATTTCAAGGCATGTCCAGATAATCTGGTTCGTTTTCAAAGTTAAATATAGAAAATAAGGACTTCGGAATTCTTAAATGGAATTCTCAAGTGAGTTTTGCTTTTGCCGTCTCATCTGTGACCAGCAGGTGGGGATACAATATAGTGAAAACCGTGCATGTACCCAAGCAGGGCTCCCTGTCTGTTCCTTAAAGTTCTCTAGGCAAGGGTGAGGTTTTATCGGACCAAGTGAAATGCTTGCTTAATTGCAGCTTTCTTTTTTTACTTTAAGTGCTTTAGCGCTGAGATCGTATCGGAGTTGGGCTGGCAAAGATACTTTGGGTTGCTCATAAAATCCTTCATTCATTGTATCTTCTGTCATCGGCCATATAAAATTCTTGGGGTGTGGTCACCCACTCCTTGTTTGGTGTGCCAAGGGTACTTCTCTCTCACCCCGTCTTTCTTTTCTCTGTTATGACCTCCTTTATTCTGATGTGAAAAGGTTGCGAGTAGAAAACAGAACTGCTTCCCCCATATACAGATATGCAAGCCCTTGGACTGACTTAGCAAAGACGGGAAATTAACATGCAGAACACCTTACACACGCAGAACAGATCTTATGGATGTTGTTTCACATGAAAAAAGAGAAAGCTGCTGTGTAAGGCCTCTCCTCTACAGACGTCTGTTTTCCTCGTGCACTACAGGTTGTTTGGATCATGGGCTGCATTACAGTTTAAAACTGATGCCTTTGCTTCACTCATGGTTGTGCACCTAGCAGTCTTTAGCCAGCATCTCATTCACCTACAGTGTGAACATTCTGGGCTTCCGCTCATAGCAATATCTGCAGTTGCTTTTTGCACACAGTAGTTATTGCTAGCGGGTTAGTCTTGCCTTATAATTCATTCAGTAGACAAGAGCACTGAGTCTCGAAAGTAAAGTAAAGGTAAAGGTTCCCTTGCTCGAAAGCCAGTCGAATCCGACTCTAGGGTTGCGGTGCCCATCTCCGTTTCAAAGCCGAAGAGCCAGCGCTGTCCGAAGACGTTTCCGTGGTCATGTTGCCGGCATGACTAAACACCAAGGCGCACAGAACGCTGTTACCTTCCCACCGAAGTGGTACCTATTTATCTATTTGCAATTTCTTGCTTTCGAACTGCTAGGTTGGCAGGAGCTGGAACTAGAGACGGGAGCTCACTCCGTCATGCGGCACCCGGGTCTCGAACTGCTGAACTACCGACCTTCCACAGCCTGCAGTTCAGTGTCTTAACGTGAAGGCAGCACAGCCATCTGCAGCAATGTGGCATGTGGTTGAGCTGCTTTGGATGCCAATCATCTCTAGGTTTCAAACTAAGCAATTCAGGGTTTCTGGCACCCTGAATTTGCACTAGATTAAGGACTCTGCCTTAGTCATGGCTCAGGTGGCAACAATTCTGAGAGTTAGAGGCGATGCAGAAGTCTCTTAAGAGTAAATGTGAGTGAACTTAGGATCACTGTTCAGCAGTTTTCACTGGGTTGTGTTGTAGGTCAGTGCTGTTTTCAGAAGCTTCCAACGGTATCAGTTAATGATAGGACTCCATTTATGTTACGTTTTAATGACTGTGCACCATTTACAAATAACCTGCATCTTTCTCATTGCATCTAGGTTTATGGAATCTTGCTTCCCTCTTCTCCAATCTTTGTTTATTTGTATTGATGCCCTTCGCTTTCTTCTTCCTGGAGTCTGAAGGCTTTGCTGGCTTAAAAAAGGTAGGTTGATATTAAGTACGTGAATGTGATGCCAAAATCCTGTATTCACCTGACAGAGCTAAGTTTGCGGAACTATTGACCAGCTTTTAAAATTGATTCGATGCCAAGGCTGTCGCTTATATGCTGAGTGGTTAATCAAATAGTAACCGCACTGTATATAATGTACTCGCTTCCCTTCACAAATTTCAATAATGGCCTTCCTAAGGTAAATGATTATGATAACCGTTTCAGAGTTGCCCTTTCAGGTTTCAGTAACTGCAATACAAGAATGTGTGTGTATGTGGTCACTTGTGCATTTGACAAGTTGTACGTTGGAAACATATTGAGACCACTGAAGTCCCGCGTTTTAGGACTTCGGTCCCGTATAAGAAATGGGGTTTGGGAAGACCCTATGGCTGAACATTTTAGAGCTTTCCAACACGATGCTCCCTCAGATTTTTTGTGATCTTTAAATACACCAAGAGAATATACAAAAATACAGATGTAAGTCATTTCTTACTGCAGCAAGAAGCGAAATGGATTTTTAAACTTCAAATTTTATATCCAAAAGGCCTAAATATGAATAATGATTTTACATGCTTTTTGTAGTGGTTGTATATATTGGATTCGCACATAGATTCTTGAGTGTGATGTTACTTTAAGAAGGCCCCATGTCACAAATTGGAGACACCAGGGAGTCAAATACCATTGGGTATTTTAATCATATACCTTGGGAAGGCCATTATTAAAACTGTGAAGGGAAGTAAGCACATGAAGAAACGCTATGAGCAATTCATTCAAGTTTTGATTCTTCTACTTTAAGGTATGTCTTGGCACCAGCAGGATTTCAAAGTCTCCAGTTTCCTGTGTTAGTTTTTTAAATATTTGTTTCACAGAATGTTTGCCACTGGGAACTATTGAAGCATTGGTCTCTTCTTTGATAAAGCTTCAGTGAATGGGGATTTATAGCTGGCATGCCCATAAGAGAGAACACACAGCGGGGACCGGCCTCTTCTAGGATACTGGATTATTTGTGAAGTGGACAGACGGTGTTTATAGGGACTGTCTTAATATATCCAGTATCTGATAATGTATTTTGGCTTTTCTGTTATGGCCTTCAGAAGTTCCTATATGTATCAATTTTGAAAAAGTCTTTCTTATCTTGTAACAAGCAATTGGTTCAATATTTAAATAATAAGCAAATGGGAAATTCATTTATTTTTGTTCTTTATTGCAGTTATATACAGTGTGGTTGCTATTTGGTTATTCAGTTCTACTATCTCACTTATTTCTGTGTTCAGTTATATGCTGAGCGGTGACAGTTGGCTCTGATAAAAACTGTAGGTAAATTCACGCCAATAGCCAATTTACTCTTATTTTACTTTAATGACACTGCTCATTTAGGCCACAGGCCTTGAGCAGTGGCACACTAAATGCAACAAAAAGTAAGTAATTTAAATAACTAACCAGTTACCACAATTACACGAGCAAAAATTTTGACTAATGCCAGTGTGACTCCTAAATCTATGCCTGCCAAGAGTTTCTTAAACTTTTCTGCTGCAAACTCCTCATTATCACAGAAAAGAGCAGAACAAAGTTTGAGTCCAGTGACACCTTTAAGACCAACATGTTTTATTCATGGTATAAGCTTTCATGTGGATGCACGCGAAAGCTTGTACCCAGGGGTCGTTTCGTAGAAAAAGAGCTAGGGGAACTCATTAGCTTAACTCATTAGCATATGCCACACCCCCTGACATCACCGGAAGTGTGTCATAAGGCCACAACCCCTGACATCACTGGAAGTGTGTCATAAGGCCACAGACCCCGCCCCCAACGGTCCCGGCCGCCGCCCTTGCAGCTCCACTGCCGAGCCCCATGAGGGGCCCGGCGGTGGACCTGCAAGGCCGGCGGGAGTGCAAGGAAGCCCCACGAAGGCCCTCCCTGGCCCCAGGCAGGCAGGGGTGGGGAGAGGCAGGGAGGAAGCAACTTACTCTCCCTCTTCTCCTGCCTCCTCCTGGCTGAATGAGGGCCGGAAGCGGGGTGGCCGGAAGCAGGAGGCGGGGCTTCGTCATGTGCCCCGCCTCCCGTACCTCACCCGGGGGAACTGCGATCCCCCGCGATTCCCCCCAAAATGACCTCTGCTTGTACCTTGAATAAAAGTTCGTTGGTCTAAAGGTGCTACTGGACTCAAACTTTGTTCTGCTGCTTCAGACCAAACCGACTACCCGCCTGAATCTACAGAAAAGAGTAGTAATTGACAGATATCTTTTACTGTGAAAGGTATAGCCTATTCTAGTAAGCAGTGCTCGAGAGTTTCTTCTGTCCAGAGGCACAGTCACAAAGTCTACCAGCGTGTAGGATCCTTTGTATCTGACCTTGCGTTATCTGGGAAGGAATAGCGTTTAATCTTGGAAGCATGAATGCTCTCCTGTATTGAGGAGCAGTTAAATAATCTAAATATTGAAAGGAATAGCCAATTAAAAATACAGGGTAAAGAAAATGTGGCTGGCATGTACAAACTACTTTGTTGACAGAACAACATTGGGGGGGGGGAATGTTGGTACTATAAACCGAGGGTGGTATGTAAATCATGTTTGGAGGAGAAATACACAGGGCTATTTTTGGGCAGGAACGCACAGTAACAGAGTTCCGGCTGGCTTCATGTCCACTACAGCCAAAACCTCTGTGTGTGTGGCTACACTCCGAGTGGAAGGATCAGGGAGGCATTTAAATGCCTCCCCTTGCCTTCCCCAGCCTGTCCAAGGGCCGGCTTGCCTGGGCGCCCCGCAGCTGTGGGGGCCCGGGCAAGCCAAGGGAAGGTATGGTGGTGGGGCCTAATATGCTAATGAGCTGCACTGTCGGGGTGTGGGCTATTATGCTCATGAGTTCCTGCTGGGCTTTTTCTACAAAAAAAGCCCTGGAAATACACATCTGGCAGACTGGTACTTATAGAATGCAGAGACCATTCCTTAAGCTAATATTTAAACATGGTTTATGACACAGCAATAGTGATTAACACGCCTGCTGGAACCCAGTGGGCTTGGAGTAATGTGCATTTTTAGGCACTGCTGGCAATAAAGAGGAGCTGGAGGCTGATATTCCTGGACAGGGTTCGTGTCCTCCTTAGCTTCCTGGATGCTTGCTCTTTCATGCCCTTTTCCTGCAGCGGGAGCCCCCACAGATACCTTCTGTAAGCCTTTTCAGAATTCCTGGGTAGATGCAGACCTGTGTCTTGAGGCCCATTGTCACAGTACATGGATACATACAGTACAGTCAGTTTAGTAATGGTCATGTCAGAACATGTGTGAGAGCATGTGTAAAAGCCTCAGATATGCTATTTGCTTTCCCATGATTCTGTGAAGGGATATCCCACTGCAGCAAGTGCATGGCTGTGAAGCAGATGGTGCAGGGTGAGAGCAAATTACACAACCATCTCTGCACAGGAATCTTCACATAACAAAACGAGCGTGCTGTATGAAGGAGCCCTTCAATGCACAACATATCCATTTTGTTGTTGTGTACATGAATATTAAACTACTTGGTAACCAAAAATGAAATCTGGAGATAAAATCCCTCTCTCCACCCATCCACCCTGCTATGTTCTTCGAAAATGCATATAAAGGTGTTTTTTTTTTTTTGCTTTAAATTGTGATGTTCTTCTTTATTGTTGTTGTTCAGTCGCACAGTCGAGTCCGACTCTTTGCGACCCCATGGACCAGCTCCCTCCAGGCCCTCCGGTCTTCCGCCATCCTCTGAAGTTTGCTCAACTTCATGTTTGTTGCATCGATGACACTGTCTAACCATCTCATCCTTTGCCGTCCCCGTCTTCTTTGACCTTCAATCTTTCCCAGCATCAGGGTCTTCTCCAGTGAGTGTTCCCTTCTCATTTGGTGGCCAAAGTATTTGAGCTTCAGTTTCATTATCTGGCCTTCCAGGGAACAGTCAGGGTTGATTTCTTTGAGGATTGACTGATTTGATCTTCTTGCAGTCCAAGGGACTCTCAAGAGTCTTCTCCAGCACCATAGTTCAAAAGAATCTATTCTTCTGCGCTCGGCCTTCCTTATCGTCCAACTCTCGCAGCCATACATGACTACTGGGAATACCATTGCTTTGACCATGCGGACTTTTGTTGGCAGGGTGATGTCTCTACTTTTTATCATGCTGTTTAGGTTCGCCATCGCTTTCCTCCCAAGGAGCAGGCGTCTTTTAATTTCATGGCTGCAGTCACAGTCTGCGGTGATCTGGGATCCCAGGAACGTGAAGTCTGTCACTACTTCCACAGCTTCCCCTTCTATTTGCCAAGGAGTGATGGGGCCGGATGCCATGATCTTAGTTTTTTTGATGTTGAGCTTCAAGCCCACTTTTGCGCTCTCCTCTTTTACCCTGAGCAAGAGGCTCTTGAGGTCCTCTTCACTTTCTGCCATCAGAGTGGTATCGTCTGCATATCTGAGGTTGTTGATCTTTTCCCCAGCAATCTTAATTCCCGCTTGTGATTCATCTAGGCCAGCATTTCGCATGATGTACTCTGCATATATATTAAATAAGCAAGGCGACAATATAAATCCTTGTCGTACTCCTTTTCCTATGCGAAACCAATCAGTTGTTCCATATCCGGTTCTAACTGTCGCTTCTTGGCCCTTATTCAGGTTTCTCAAGAGACATGTGAGGTGGTCTGGTACTCCCATCTCTTTAAGGACCTGCCATAGTTTGTTGTGATCCACACAGTCAAAGGCTTTAGCATAGTCAATGAAGCAGAAGTAGATGTTTTTCTGGTACTCTCTTGCTTTCTCCATAATCCAGCGGAAGTTGGCAATTTGATCTCTAGTTCCTCTACCTCTTCGAAACCCAGCTTGTACTTCTGGCAGTTCTCTCTCCACGTACTGTTGAAGCCTAGCTTGTAGGATCTTGAGCATGACCTTGCTAGCGTGTGATATGAGTGCAATTGTGCGATAGTTTGAGCATTCCTTGGCATTGCCCTTCTTTGGGATTGGAATGTATACTGACCTTTTCCAATCCTGTGG